CTGCACAGCAGGAGGGCCCCACAGACCCTGGCATGGTAGTCTTACTGTGACCCAGGCAGCAGCGCTCAGCTGGCGGCTGGGAAGCAGGATAGGGATTGGTGAGGGAGGCAAGGTGGGCACAGGAGGCTCCAGAGTTGGGAGTAGTGCTAGGGGGTTCTGAGGGTGGGGGACTTTTAACAGGCAGAGGGCTGACGCTGGAGGGAGTAGTGCTAGGGGGTTCTGAGGGTGGGGGACTTTTAAGAGGCAGAGGGCTGACACTGGAGGGGGCTCTGGGGCCCCGGGCTTTTGGCAGACTGGTAACGTTATATTTGCATATTCATTATTTACTTAGTGAATATGCAAATATACAAAAAATCTTACCACTTTGCCAAAAGCTTGTGAATAGGTTTGCTGGTCTGATATAAAAAAGATTGGGGACCACTGCTTTAGAGCACAGAGGCAGAGATTTGCATACATCACAGCAAAATAACTGTTTCTTCCCCTGGGCATAGTTAGGGTGAGAAGGCATGTTGCTTGGGCAGCCTGGAGGGGGTGCCTTGTTTCCTACTCTGACAGAGTTGTGATGTGTTCATGGCTATTGCTCTGGCACTTCTTGCCAGTGGTAAGTGCATTTATGGAGCAAGGTGAATCATGTAGATGTGGGATTTTGACTTTTTTTGTTGTTCATTTTTACATTGGTTTAGGAGCAGAAAGTGGGTATCTCAAAGGTGCTTAAGGAACTGTGGCGGGACTTCCTGCAGTGCTATTCCTCCCGTCCTATGATCTGCTGGTCTGTGTGGTGGGCATTCTCAACTTGTGGCTACTTCCAAGTAATAAACTACATACAAGGCTTGTGGGAAATGGTGCTGCCTTCTCAGAGCTTTGAGATCTATAATGGTGGTGTGGAGGCAGTTTCTACACTACTAGGTAAGTTACCTACTTCAATTTCAGAGGGTATGTGTTACAAGGCATCTAAACATAATCCAGAACACTTGCTTGATATGTCCTTTACGCTCTGTATTGCCAAAACAGAGGTCTGATGTTGCTGTGCTTCCTATCATGTACAGGATAGTGGCACTGAATCAAATTTTCATTGGCTAAGTTTCATGCAAAATGTCTAAGGGTGACTCAGCTGCACTGATTTTTGTAATCCGAGGTAGGTATAGAAATGTTTATATACCTCGTCTTTCTACCTGCAGTGTGCATTGTTACAAGGACCCTCCCCAAGCAGTCACAGCTCAGGAATGTTTAACAAAACTCTCCAGATACATGAGACTCCTGTGTACTGATAGGTGTTAACTTGAAATGCAGTTGAGGTTGTGTGGCTTTTTCTCAACAGACTGAGCAACCCTGATTTTCAGCTGGAGGTATTGGAAGACACTTGTGAGCCTCAAAGTAATCTGCACTGTAACCATAGTTGCCTTGCTTGACTGAAGGGGTCAAGGCATAAATTAAAAGCTTTTTGTGTAATAGACTGTCCAGTTGACATCTCCATTGTCACTGCCATAAGGATTAGGACTGTCAGTTGACCTGCGTTAACACAGGACAAGATTAACGCTTTAAAAAGACGTGTTAATTGCAGGCGTTAATGCTGCATTGCCTCTGGCACTTCAAAGGGGCAGCACATTAGGAGCTGGGGACTCCAGCGGATCACTGATTCTGGTTGCGCTGCCCCTTTGAAGTGCCATTTTGGTGCTTTAAAGGGGCAGCACTGCATGGAGCTCGGGGTCAGCTGGGAAGTCCAGCTAACTCCGGGCTCTGTCTTGTGCTGCCCCTTGGAAATGCTGCCACAGTTAATAGTGATTAAAATTTTTAATTGCTTGACAGCCCTAGTAAGGGTATCTTTAATACTGCTCTAACATGTTCATTCAGAGGAGCACTAAATGATACTGCATTAGGCTCCATAGCTTGCATTAGTAATTGGGGAATCCGAGGCAATATATATTAATGGTGTTTCCTTTCCTTTCCTTTCTCCTGACCACTTGTGTTGAGTTCAGTAGGAACAGGTTGTGCTGTACCTCTGAGGACTAGATCATAGTAGAGTTGTCCTTGACCAGTTCTAGAGACACAACCCAGCAGGTTTAATTCTCACCTCTCTGCCTTAACCATTAAACCATCTGCCTCCATAGTACTTGGCCAAGCTTAAATAAGTAACAGAACAAACCTGACTACTACAGAACAGTGCCTTCTGATGATAAAGGGGTCAGAATAGCTTCCACCTGTCAGAGCCAGAAAATTGTATGAGTTAAGGGCCTACACTGGGGTTAATTTTGGGAGTCACTGTGTTTCTTTGTTAGTGAAAATATTTTAATATCATAATTCATCTTGATACAAAAGGAAAAAGTCATGCCAGAATTTTGGTGGTAAACTATGACTGGAAAGAAAATAAGGAGGGGAGAATAGATGATATGCCTATGGGACAAAATTTTACGTTGGCAATTTGAAAGCACAGTTTCTTTAGATATTTGGCTTCAATATGGGAAACTTCTCCTTGATCAGCCCTTAAAAAAAAAAAAAAGCGTGTATTGGTGGTACATAAAAAGAGATTTCCTTATTCCTTGGATGATACAAGTCAGTTTATATACAAACTTTCAGGCCGTTTTCTAGGCCCTTGCTTTCTGGTAAAAAGTCCAGTCCAGGTGATCTGCTGGCAGTGTAGGTTGATTGAAATAACAACTTTATTGTGTGTTGCATTTGTACTTGAATTATTTTCGTAAAGAGTGGTTCTTCAGTGTTGATAAACTTACAAACTTTCAGGCCGTTTTCTAGGCCCTTGCTTTCTGGTAAAAAGTCCAGTCCAGGTGATCTGCTGGCAGTGTAGGTTGATTGAAATAACAACTTTATTGTGTGTTGCATTTGTACTTGAATTATTTTCGTAAAGAGTGGTTCTTCAGTGTTGATAAACTATTAAACAACAAATGGTCTGGTAGCATTTTGTAAACTAACTCGGCTACCCCCTGAAGCTATTAAAATATTGATTTACAACTAAATATCATCTTTAAGCTACAGGTGGTGCTACTTACCACTAACAGAGGTTACACTATCTGTACACATTTAATTACACAATTATATGGGTTAATTTGTTCAGAATCATAATTAGTTATAAAATGGTGAATGATAAATTTTTTATGATTTTTTGTTTGTGATTTGCATCAAGCTCTGTTTGGATGGAAAAAACAATTTAAATTGTGCAAGTTAGCTACATAAGAAATAATCAAAAATTGTTTTGCATTTAAAACTAATTGGCTTATTAAATAAGTATTATCTGTAGTCAGTAGCTTGAGCTCATTGTTTCTGCTTACCGTGTCCTTCTAGGTTTTTAGAAGTAGTAGAACTCATTATTTGTTTCATTGTGTTAGAGAAAAACCTAATTTTTCTCTTACTCTTGTTAATAAAAACGAGCATTCCTGACTTTCACATCCCATTGGTTTCTTAACTTTGAATGATCTAGTCATTGAATTTGAACAAGTTGAATAAGGCGAAATCAAGAGAATATTTTTTTGCACTGGTAGAATAGGCTACTGTTATTAAAAGGTGATTTAGCACTGCAACAAACTCTGGCTCCAGGTGCTTAGTCAGTGACCTTCTTGTTGGGTGGTGTGACTTGTTTTTGAAAACTCTCAGCATGCATCCACACCTTTTTGTTTTTTGTTTAATTGAAATAGGTTATAGTAAGCTTTGATTTGAACATAGGGGTTCAATTTCAAATTTAATTTTACAAACCCTGTATTTTATTTATTTTTTTTAATTAAAAATATCTGATTTTTTTTTTAAAATTGGATTTTTATTCACCTTGCCAATTAGCATAAAGCTCCTCCATCTCTGATTTAAAAAAAAAAAAAAAAGTACTCATGGAGAAATCACATTCTAAGTGTCTCAAATTAGGAGTACCAGTTCCAGCTATTTGCACTGTTCCTGTGGGCTTGTGGGGCCTAGGACATCTGCCTCAGGCCCCATGTCTTCCCACTCCTATTGCACCCCAAACAGCCTTCCCTGAGAAAAGCGGCATAGGGGACACCTGGTGGGGCTTGGCATTGGCAACAAGAGTTGGTCTGTCCCTGCACTCACCACAGTGGTGGGAAGCAGAGTGACTCAGCCCCAGCCCAGGATGCTCCCATGAGCCTGACTCCTAATTGTGTCACTTAAGAGAGTGAATCGGGCTGGGGCCAGGATGTTGTGCTTTCCACCACCCCGATGAACTGGCTAGGAGATGGTAGGGCAGAGCAGGCTGCTGGCTTTCTGTGTTTCCCACAGCTCCCACCACCATTGGTGAGTGTGTGGGTGTGGGCAACCCCTGCTGCCAATGCCAGGCTACCCTGGGCCCTACTGGGCCCAACAAAGCATGGGGCCTGGAGCAGCTGCCCTGAAACATCCGTCCTGTTGATGGGATGGCTCTGCTGCCTATAATTATGGCATCATTATACACAGGGCTTTTTACTTTAGATTTTAACTAATAAATACTGATAACACCTATAAACACTTTGGTGCATACCTAACAAAAATCAGAAAAATCCCAGAAATGGTTACTTGTATCTAAGGGCTATTCTACAGTAGTTTGAACTATGGGAGCATAAGATCTAAAGCAGGCAAACATTGCGCGTTATTTGGTCTATTTAAACCCTGCTGGTGCATATTAAATGTTCCCTAGAGCACTTTAATATAATTCTGTTTAGAACTGTATATTATAGGACGCTAGGGAATGTGAGAGGTAATTGTTACAGTATATACTACTACTGTTACTATAAGTAATAATCAGTGAGCCCCAAATCCCCCTGATTCTTGGACAGCTAAATAAAACACAAATTGCTAAGTGACATTATTGAAAAGTGACTAACTGCTGCCCTTCACTGCCCCCAACCCTTCCCCCCCATAAATCTTAATTATAAACTACATAGGGGGTCTGTGTAAAACAAATGCTACCTTTGGTTTGAATAAGCTCACCATGTGACTAACAGCAAGCAACTAAATGGAGCTAGCTGCCTGATTGAAACGGGGCAGCTCCAAGAGCAGAGAGTAAGTGGGTTGGGGGGAGGGAAGAGAAGGATTAAGTAAGTAATTGGCTGAGGAGGAGTTAGAGGGGAGTGGAGTTTGGAGAGTCCCCTTTGTGAGAGGAGAGAGAGAGGCAGAAACTCAAGCCTTCTGGGGAAGGGGAGGTAAGGGGTAGGTGGGGTGGGGGGTGAGGGGAAAGAGGGGAAAGGAAAGTGCCCCTTTCACCTTGCTGCTCTTTGACTCCCATGCCCTCCAGCCAAACCCAGCCTACATCCTGTCTCCTCTCCACACACATCCCAACCACCCACTGAACCTAGTTTCCACCTTCTCTCCCCTCCCAGGCAAACCTGACCCCTCAGTGACTGGACCCAGTCCACCCCTTCTTCCCTCCCCCACCTATCCACCCTGTACCCTCTTCCCTCCCAGCCAAACCCGATCCCATCCATACCTGGTTTGCTCCCCTCTCCCACCTTCCCCCACTGATCGAATTCCGTCTCCTTTCCCTCTCCCCACCAAATCCTTGTGTCCCCTCCCCACAGCACGCGCGGAAATGTCGGAGCACTCTGTGGGGGTATGTCTACACTACAAAGTTAATTCGAACTAACGGACGTTAGTTCAAATTAACTTTAATAGGAGCTACACTAGTGCTCCGCTAGTTCGAATTTAAATTGAACTAGCGGACAGACACCCCGCCCCCCCTTGGCCTTCTGCTGCAGGGCAGGCACTGAGAAGGAAAGTGCCCCTTTCACCTTGCTGCTCTTTGACTCCCATGCCCTCCAGCCAAACCCAGCCTACATCCTGTCTCCTCTCCACACACATCCCAACCACCCACTGAACCTAGTTTCCACCTTCTCTCCCCTCCCAGGCAAACCTGACCCCTCAGTGACTGGACCCAGTCCACCCCTTCTTCCCTCCCCCACCTAATCCACCCTGTACCC